TTCTTTGAAATTACCCCTTAAACTAGACACTTATGATACTCATGTAAGTTTAGAATGTTTTCAGCCGTTGGATAGATTTGGAGAGTTTATTCTACAAAGGTTGACACTGATGTATTGCCAAAGAAGTTGGGGCATCTTGTCTCAGTTGCTAGGGTTAGACCAAAGCATATGGAGAGTGAGTTTGGTTGAAACACTGAACCCGGACCATTTTCAGTTATGCCTTGAACCTTGGAGATTGATGAGCAAAACTGGAAAGTTACACATAACCCCTAGACTTGATTATGATATTACACTAGGTGTTGGATTGGGTTGTCTTTGATATGCCAATCAGTGAGATCCATTGAGACTCAAAACCTGTGTATGTTAGGGCAGTCTGAGAATTCACTTGAGTGGGTGATCATAGTGATAGGATCGGCCCCTTTGTTAGACAAAGTGAATGATAGGCTTACTCTCTCTCGGATGGAAACCTAAACTGCTGGCTGGGGAGAGGTCATTCCCTTTTGGGCAATGTTTGATCATTATGGGCTGAGAGGTTATGTGTAAGAGACCATTACAGGGCTGATTACCTGATGAGCTTTGTCTTTCTTAAGTCCATTTTCCTTAGGTCTTCATAGGATGGATGAATTCAAAGATCATTTAAATGTAAATGTTGGGCCCATTTTGATTCCTATAGTGATGTGCTCAGGGGTTGATTGTGTTTAATAGTGAATTTGGCCAAACTTTTTCACAGAGGCTGGGCCAAACCCATGTGGATTTATGTGAGGTCATTGTGGTGTCCCACACCATATAAATCAGGCCTAAGTTGGCCATGCAACACCTTTGGGTCGTGAGCCTTATAGCTGATGGGCCTAAGGCCCATAATTAATATGATTAATTAATCTGTCACATTAAAACTAAAGTTGTCTTGTCACATGGGGCTAATCTGGGTTTGGAAATGGATATGGAGCATCCATCCTCTTAAGAGGATAAGTTTTATCTCTTAATAGAGTCTAAATCCAAATTAGATTTGGATAATCTCCTAATTTCATTAGGAGAAGTGCTCCATAAAATGATAAAAGAAGAAGAGGGCGAAATAGACTAGAACACCTCTTTATTTTGTTCTCTTTTCTTATTTTTGTCTCCTAAGAAACCCTAGTTCAACCAGAACTATTTTGGGATTAATAGAGATCAGTTTTCTTCTAATTTTTGCAAGAAAAATCTAGAGGAATTTCGTGCTCACCTTCCCCAGTTCGATCCAAGTAGTTGGATTGTAATTTTGCTGAAAACTGTGTTGCTGAACCGGCTTCTGGAAAACACTACGCCATCTTTAGTGGAGGCTGGTTTTAAGACTAATTTGGGCGTGAACTTCCACCTTGGGATCTGTGTTTCTGGTATCTGTAGGTACATAGTGGTCTCTAAGACCATCAAAGTACAAAGGGTGTCAAACCAACACTACACGGACGCTTGTGATGAATCTATAACCCATCACACATTTGCGATGAGTTCATAGTTCATTGCAAATCTACGATGAACTCATACCTGGGACAGGTCGCAATTAACTTTGGCTAGTGCAAATCTGCGATAAAGCATAGACACACACAAATCTACAATAATCTATAAGATGCATGTGGATTTGCGATGAACCTCGAATATGCGTGGATTTGCGATGAATCCTGAACACGCACAGAGTTGCAATGAACCCGATACCATTATAGAACTGTAGAATCACAGTTGATTGGGAATAAATGCCGATTACATGTGCGTCTTTAAATTACGCATGCGGGTTTAATGAAAGCATGCCTGCCAAACAATGATGTCACCCACACCACGTCAGTTTAATATGGTCACATACGGAGAGAATCCGGAAGGGATATGATTCTCTAATAATGATCTCTTGATAGTCAAACAAAATCTCATTTCCTAATAGAGAAGATTCTCTTTCGTAACAGGAAAGAATTTATTCATTGATAACCTTAACTTTCTCTTTATAAAAAGGAAAGAGCAATTCTTCCTCAAGAGAAACAACAATATACAACTTTGACTTAGGGTTTTTGAGAGGAAAGCAACTCCCTTCTCTTCTCTTCCTCGCATCCTCTCTTTTTTCTATCATCTTTGGAAACCAACCAACCTCCGCTTACCATGGTACTTACATTAGAATCATATTGTCTCCCATCTATAGAGATCGAAGGATGCTTCGTCCTTCTCATTCTCGGTTGGCTCGAAATAAATCCCAAAAAACTTTTCTCGATTGGCTCGAACTAAATCCCAAAATAAGAAAATCTCTAGAGATCTGCGCAAGTCCCACAACTTTGCGTTCTCGGTTGGCTCGAACTAAATCCCGAAAAAATTTCTATTGTTCGTCTTCCCGATCTCAACACCGAACAGGGGCGGTGGTGTCTCCCTCCCCTCCACCAGTCGGCTGAAGAAGAGGCACTATTCATCGTCGTCCTGTTCTGACGATAGCAACGAGAGATCCCCCAGGGGCCCGGTTTATTGTCTTCATTGTCGTCAACCTCTTCCTTGTATTTTTTTATTTTCCTTGTGCTAAAAACTAAATCTGAATCAGTGATGACTGATAAATTTATTTCTCTCCTCATTGTATTTTGCGATTTCTTCCACCATAGCCACTCTCTATTCTGTTTCTCGTTTCGTTCCTTGCATAACTATTCCCTGATGGACTGATGAATCCTGGGCAATTTCCTTGCTGAAATCGATCCCACACTCTGAGAAGAGTATCGCCAAGATGTTAGTAAAGCTACCCCTGAGTCCGAACCAGTCCCCTTCCCATCAAGTTCACCTGAGCAGACGGGCCCCGAAGTCACCCCTTAAGCAGGATTCGGCACCGAACTGTTCACAACCCAAGTCTTCTTTTTTTCGCCGCTGCAAACTCTCGAGTTAGGCCACTGAATGACCAGCGGTTTCAACCGGGAATCAACAGAGATTGAATGCCTAAGACAAGAAATCTTTGTTTTGCAGAAGGAAGGCGCTGCTTTGCCGGAATAGAGCCAAATGCGAGCGGTCATCATTACTCTTGAATCCGAGTATTCCTTAACCTTTTAACTTAAATATATATTATGGGTGCGAGTGAAAATATGTATGATGATTTAAGGAGACGCCATGAGAAAACCCGTTTCTACCAATCGGGCGAAGAAGAAGATAGAAGATGGGTTGGTGTTGACCCGTTCTCACTAAACGCCAAACAGGTCGGTCTCAACCCACCTCAAAAAGAAATCCAAAACTAAGTAGCCGTGTCATACACGGTTTTCAATCTTTCCTTGTCATGCATGGTTGCCATTAATAGTTGCTGCTTATTTGACGTCAGCATTATTAAAATATATAAACTAAATCAGCTTTTAACTAATCGCAATACAACTATAGGGCTTTAAATAAATCTGAACGGTAAATGATTCAAAACAATTGTTTTAAATTAGAATCCTATGCAACCCCAAGATTGCACTCAAATTCCCCAGCAATCATGGGAAGGCCCTCACCACCCCAAGTGTGCTTATATCACTTGGGAATCCCAGGCTTGTATTTAGATTTTACGGCAACCCCGAGAAGGCCCTGGCAACCTCAGTCTTGCACTTAGATTCCCTGGCAACCCCGGGAAAGCCCTGGCAACCCTAGGCGTGCTCATTTCACCTAACAACCTCAGGCTTGCACTCAGATTCCCTGTCAACCCCAGGCACACTCACATCCCCTAGCAGCCCCAGGGAGACTTCAGTGACATCAGGAATGATCTTTGCCTAACTTACAAATACAAATATTTTGTTTAACTTATAAATGCAATGATCTGAGGAAAAACAAACTTAAGACATCCCATACATAGGTGATGATACTTTGCTAAGAACAATGCTCGTTTCAATAGTTTTCTCATGTGACGACCAAAATTCATCGCAAAAGGCGATAAAGGACTCAGGCTCGAGCCTTAACCATATTACCCATATAGAGACTTATTTTCTCAAGGCACGACAACATTCATCTCAATCCTTGGGAAAGTCGTATTCTCCTATGAAAAGGTTCAATTCCCCATTCCTATGTGCATGCTAAGTTGTTTGCATTATATAGAGATAACCTTATCGCACCTAGCAATGTTTCGGGAAACGGAAAATAGTCGATTTCTTTCTTCTCTCTAATGATTTGTGACTAGAGGCCAATTATGATGACAATCACCAGGAAACATACAAAGGCCTTCACTCACAATGAAGGTTCACAAAATATTCGATTTTGATTACTTGGGTTTTATTTGATACCTACAAACACAATTTGCAGTAAAATTTGTGACTCTGAATATCGCACAATGAATGGGGGCTTTCCTTCGTCCCACATTTTAGATACCTGATGCGATACTAGAAATGCCTTATATTAAAGCGAAAGGGGGGTTGGGTACTCTACCCACAAAATATCCATGCAACACCCTCTCACTCACACAGGGGGAATGACAAAAGTCACACACTTAGAAAACCTCACTTAAGTGTTTCTTGATAGAAGACATTCTATCAAGATACAGGGGGCTGAACATTAAAGTAGCCAACTAATTCATTCCACTTGTTTCTTGATACACTGACTTCAACATTCTCTTTGGTTGGTTTCAAATTTGGTCTGGTTCAATGCAAGACCAATCCTAAAAAGTGCAGTTTTTCAAAACTTAGGAAATTCGGTTCTCGAAAAGATTAGGAAATTTTTGAAATTTTGTCCAGCCATCTAGCATGGTCCGGCCATCCATATGATGAATCCTAACCCTTTCTTCACAACCTTCCTCCAAACACCCTTTCTGAATTGGTAAGCTTCCTCAAAACTAATGCAGATGTCTTTGCTTGGTCTACCGCTGACATGCCTAGAATTGACCCTTTGGTCATTACTCACAGGTTGAGCGTGGACCCGAGTTGTAGGTCAGTTCGGCAAAAAAGAGGAATTGTGCACTAGAACATTGGAAAGCCATCGGAGAGGAGATTGACAAGCTACTTGATGCTGGCTTCATTCGAGAGGTACATTACCCTACCTAGTTGTCTAATGTAGTCATGATAAAGAAGCCTAATGGGAAATGGAGAATCTGTATTGATTTCACAGACCTCAACCGAGCCTGCCTCAAAGACAACTTTCCTTTGCCGAGGATCGACCACCTCGTTGATTCCACCACAGGGTACGAGCTGTTTAGCTTAATGGATGCCTTCTCTGGATATAACCAAATAAAGATGCATGATGAGGACGAGGAAAATACTTCATTCATCACTGAGCAAGGCACCTACTGCTACAAAGTCATGCCCTTCGGCCTTAAGAATACCGAAGCCACCTATCAACGGCTTGTGAACAAGGTTTTCAAGCATCAGATGGGAAGAAACGTTAAAGCCTATGTAGATGACATGGTTGTGAAGAGCCTAATGGTAGACCAACACACCTCAGACCTAGCCGAGACCTTTACCACTTTGCGGAAGTATAACATGAAGCTTAATCCCAACACGTATGCTTTTGGCGTCACCTTGGGCAAATTCTTGGGCTTCGCCATCATGCAATGGGGTATTGAGACCAACCCAGAGAAGATTCAGGCTATACTTGACATGGCACCACATCGGTCGATCAAGGAGACGTAGAGACTCACCAGTCGATTGGTTGCTCTCAGTAGATTCATGTCAAAGTCGGCTGACCACAGCCTACCCTTCTTCTGAGCCCTTAAGAAACTAAAGGACTTCTAGAGGACTGAAGAATGCCAACAGGCCTTTAATGAGCCAAAGTCTTACCTCGCCTCGCCCCCTCTGCTCACTCAGCCGCTTCTAGGAGACATGTTGTTCCTATACCTCTCTGTCGGGGATGAGGCTATCAGTTCTGTTCTGGTGAGAAGAAGAAGGAGTGCAAAGGCCTATCTACTATGTCATCAAGGTCATTTGTGACGCCGAGACCAGATACCCTAAAGTGGAGAAGCTAGCTTTTGCCCTAATGGCCTCGGCCTAGAAGCTTAGATCCTACTTCCAGGCCCACAACATCACCATATTAACCAGCTAACCCCTTAAGTCTGTCCTCTCCAAGTTGAAGACCTCAGGTCGGCTAACCAAATGGGCTATTGAGCTGTCTGAGTTCGACCTAGAGTACCAGTCGAGGCCTACAATCAAAGCGCAAGCCCTAGCTGATTTTTTGGTAGAGTGCACCTTTAACAAACCCATCAGCCAAGCTCCTGTAGAAGATGATGGACCTAGGCCAACTTAGAAATTGTTCATGGATGGATATTCCAATGCTAAGGGAATTGGAGCAGGCCTCATACTCCTTGCCCTAGATGACAGTGAGGTGGTGTATGCATTGAGATTTGACTTCTTGTCTTCCAACAATGAAGCTGAGTATGAGGCCCTGTTCGCCAGTTCGTAGCTTGCCAAAGACCTCGGCTCCCAACACATTAGTCTTCAGTGACTCTTAACTAGTGGTGAAACAAGTAAATGGCAAGTATGAAGCCAGAGAACTCAACATGGCTAAGTACTTGGCCAAAGTGCAAGAGCTTGCCCACCACTTTCAACGCTTTGCCCTACTACAAGTCTCGCGAACCGAGAAAATGAGGACCAATGCCCTATCCAAATTGGCAAGCACATTGGGTCCAGCCCTCGGCTGCACTGTTCGTGTTGAAAAGCTAGCATGACCCAGCATCAAAGAATTTCAGGTGCTCCTCATGCAAGCCGACCCTTGTTGGATGGACCCCATCCTCGCTTACCTACAACATCAGCAACTGCCCGCCGATAGGAATGAAGCAAGATGGGTCCGACGACAGGCAGCCCACTATACTTTGCTTGAAGGGAAGTTATATAGAATATCTTTCACCTTACCCTACCTCTGATGCCTTCGTTAGGAGGAGGGTGAAAATGTGCTTTGAGAGATCCATGAAGGTATCTGCGGCAACCACCTCGGAGGCAGAGCCTTGGCCCAAAAAGTACTAAGAAAAGGGTATTTTTGGTCGACCATACAGAAGGATGCAGTCGAGTTAGTGAAGAAGTGTGACCGGTGCCAGAGACACTACAACATTTCCCATTGGCCAGCCATCACCCTCTCGACCCTCAACAATCCATGGTCCTTCGCCAAATGGGGAATGGATCTCCTCGGCCGCTTCCTTCAAGCAACTAGGAACAAAAAGTACCTCATCATCGCCATTGACTATCCAAAACTTCTTATGGAAAAACATCAATTGTTGCTTCCGCATCCCCTCCATGCTCGTCACTGACAACGGGAAGCAATTGGACGACGCCAGGTTCAGAGAATGGTGTGCCAACCTCAACATCAAGCAGCAGTACACCTCGGTAGGTACCCCCAAACCAATGGCCTAGTCGAGGTCTCCAATAGGGCAATCCTTGATCAACTGAAGACGAGGCTAAACAGAGCCAAAGGGCTCTGGGCCGATGAGTTATACAACATCCTATGGGCTTACCGGATGACACCTCGGACTGCCACGAGAGAGACCCCGATCAACTTGACTTATGGAACCGAGGCTGTCATTCTAGTAAAGATTGGCTAGCCAACGCTTTGAACCGAGGCATACAGTGAAGCCGAGAATGATGAAGAACTGAGAAACAACTTGGATCTGTTGGAAAGCATCTGAGAGCAGTCTCAACTCAAGGTTGCAGCGTATCAGTAGAGGGTAGCCTGCTACTACAACTCTCGGGTGAAAGAGCGACACTAAAAGGAAGGAGACCCCATCCTCTGAAAAGTCATGGTGCTTGAGCCCGGTGTTGGCAAGCTCAACCCCAATTGGGAAGGTCCCTGCAGAATCAATTAAGTCATCGGCCCCAACAAATTTCGGCTAGAATACTTGGATGGAAGACCGGTTCCTCGTACTTGGAACTTTGATAATCTCTAGATGTACTACCAATGATGTAATCTTTGTACAAGATCTTATCAATGAAAAATTGCAAGTTACTCCCCCCTCAGCTCCAGCTTTAGTGTATGTTCTAATTACGCACAACTACCAGGACCCCTCGGTCGTGCAACTAGCCAAAGCACACATCCTTCACCAAGGTTATACGCTCAGATGAGACGACGGCCAAGGCACACGACTCTTGACGAGCTATATGCTTACTTGACCTTCTCGCTAAGGCAAAAAACTATGGGGACCTTGACTATGGCACCAACCAAAGACTTCGACCCACTATGAACAAACACACTAAATTTTACTAAGTACTTCGCTAAAACAAGAAGTGTTTTGTGACCTCGGCTAGGCACGTCCTCACGGCCTGGCTATCCATAGGATCACACCCCAAAATCCCCAAGGAAAGCTAAGCCAGGCGAGCTAAGGCACACACCTAGCCTTGAACCCTCGATGGCACAATGCGGCCTCGGCCTAGCCACCTTGATAAGAATATAGAACAGGTTGGGAGAGCAAAGGCATTCGCCTCCCTTTCCTTCTTGTTAAGGAAAGGGGCCCCAAACCCTAGACAGTGCAGCTCAGCCTCGACTTGGCTACCTTAACTTGGTTTCCTAAGCGAACGTATAAGTAACAAGCCACCAACTTTTTTCACTACTTGTAACCTCTCGGAAGGGGGCATCGACCCCTAGTAAAACAAAAAAGAAAAAAAAATCAATGCAAGAAAAAAAGGCACAAGTTATGCAAAAAAGTATATTCATTGATGTCATCTTTGTGTCTTTACAAAAAGTGGCCTCGGATGGTGGAGGCTGAGCCCCATACAAAAATTTAAACAAAAAAAAAAAAAAACAAAAGCAAAGAGAAGAAAGAGCAACTTAGGAGACCCTTCACACTTTGGCATCCCCTTCGGCTGGCACAAGCTGCTCCTCGACAAGCTGACCTTCAGGTGGTTGCACCCCATCGGCTGGCATGGGCACCTCGGCCTCTAGTTCAAGCAAGAGCCCTTGTTTGCTAACATCAAATTCAGGCATCAGTGCCAGCACCTGTGCCTTAATGTCTTCAAGTATGCAGAGGCACCATAGGTATCCAATGCCTTGTCATTGTCTGGGGTCTTTTTCTTGGCCTCCACGGCCTCCTTTGCCCGCTTCTCGGCAGCCGCATGCCCCTCCTCGTTCAGGAGCCTCTTATCTTTGGACGTCTTCAGCTTCTGCTCAGTAGCCTTCAAAGAATCCTTCAATGACTGCACCAACTCCTTCTTGACTGAGATCTCAACCTCTAGGACCTACTTCAGGTCGTGTTCCTCGCGCATGGCCGAGATGATTAACTCTCGGTCGCTTTCTACTTCAACAAATCGGACCTCGAGTTGCTCCCTCTTCTCCTTAGAGGTCTTTATCTAAGAAAATAGAACCTCCACTTTGTTGCATAGGTCGACAGCATAACAAGTAACCTGCAACAGAAATGCGGTCGTCAGAAAAAGGAAAGCAAGAACAAGAAAATGTTCTAAGTAACAAGACAAGAACTACTCACCTCAGCCATGTAGTCCATAAGGGTGTCTCAAACACCCTACATGCCCTTCTAGGTCATGGTGTGCCTGTCGGCCGGTGGCACCATCCCAATGAGAAGGGCCCAATCAATCCCTAGGGTGCTTATAGAGTCCCCATCCTTGACGTTCCACTAAGGGTGGAAGGTATACCACGTCATCAGCAACATGTCATCCCTCAGCTCGGATGAAGTGCGAGGCCCCTCGGCCGAGAGCCCCCTCGGTGTGCTCATTCCTTTGTCGTCACTCTCGACTGGGCAATCCTTTGTGGCCAACCTCTTGCCCCTTGGGGGCTGAAGTGGCTCAGCTGGCCTCTTTAGGGCAGGTTGTCTCCGCCGGTCCACCTCAACCAGTCCTTCCCCCCTTTCAGCACCGGCACCAATAGGCGCCTGCAGCCGAGGTGTCCTCTCGATTGGTGCCTCTCCCCTCAGTGCTTGTTTCTTGGATGGGCCCTTGCTTGGGATCTCCTTCACCAACTTTGCCACCTCCAACAAAAGCACAACAAACATATTAGTACTTACACACAAAAAAAGCAAGCCAACGTGTTAAGTTGACAATAAGAGCTCCCCTACCGAGGTGGGTGGCGATGAGGCCAGCCCACACCAAGGATTCCTTTGATACCAAGGGCTCGGCTTTGATGGTCTCGGAAAATCTTATGAGGGTCATCACCTCGGCCTCCTCATCCTTGTATCTAGGCAAAATCCTCTTGGCTATAAGGTCTGGCTTCCCCCAATCCAACCTAAATGACCAACCCTCGGGACAAGACACGAAGAAGAACTTCTTCTTCCAGTTGTGCACGGACGATGGGTTGTTGACCACTCTTCCATGACTTGCCTGGAAGTAGTAAATACCCGCCTCGGAGGGATGTTGCATCGGGATGAATATGTATTAGAAGATCTTCGTCGTCAACTCAATGCCTCGGAGTTAAGCCATCACCATCACGGTGATAATGGTTCTGACGGCGTTGGGGGTTAGTTGACTTAGTGAGATGTTGTAGCACCTCAGTAACTTAGGGATGAGGGGAGGAAGGGGAAACCTAAGGCCAAACTGGAGGTAATGCTCATGCACACACACCTTGCCCTCATCTGGTAGCCACGACTGGTCACCAATGTCGAGGACTCTAAGCCTATACCCCTTCGTGATATGGTACTCCTTAGAAAGAGCCCTAAATTGCTCTATGCTAAGGAGGCTATTCAACTTGGAGCATTGATAGCGCT